ATAAAAAAAAAAAAATCAACTACTCTTAAGGATTTTTATTTGGAAGTTTTTTCAAAGTATATTTTGAATTTTGGTTTGAAATTTTAAAAAGTTACTCTTTTCTTTATAAGCTTTCCAAAAAGATCTTACTTATTTAGAAAGAAGATAGTATGAAGCTGTGGTGTCATTTTTTATAATAAAGAGAAGCCAATTGCTTTGTGCTAATATGATTTGTAGCTTTATTTATTTATAAAGCATGTTATAAAGAGTTTTAAAAAGTAAGATTTTGTGTAAATATATAAGGGCTAAATAGCTCTCTAAAAAACCATCATATATTCAAATCTAATGAAGTATAGAGTTGTGATATCAATTTGAATGAAGAAGAAATATCAACTATTGTATACTATCAAGAACTACCATGTACATATGAAGTGGTGGAGTTTGTTTGAATGAAAGGCAATATTTGACCATATCTAGTTGTAACCATAAATCTTATATTTTTTTGAAGCAAACTCTTTCATTCTAATAATAATGGATAAGAACCATTCCATAATAAGTATTCTTAGTTGCACAAGGAAAATCCAAAAAATTCTATGTATTGCAAACATCTTAAGGACAAGATGTGAGATACCTTGTGAAATAAAATATTATGTGTTCAAAGTAACTACACTCAACTACGATAATAGTATCCATTCGAAGAGCCCATACCTACTCATGGATGATATTGTAGAAGTAATTTGATGACATGGTACTAGAGGAGTGGCAAGCAAGGAAATAAGGTGTTATTATGAGCTTGTCAAAATTAACAAAGATACTAAAAGGTAGAGAGCTATTTGAAAGTCAGAAAAGGTATTTAGTGGATGTTGAGAAGTAGCATAGTATTTAATAGATCCTGAGTAGTAGCACCACAAATTAGTTAGTATTGGACTGAAGATTATATAATTTTGATTGAGCAATAAAATAATTTTTATCTTTTTTTATATCATTATATATATCAAATCCAATCTTACAAGGTCTTGTCTCATACTTATAAGTAACTTCAAAAGCCTAAAAAATAATAATTATCGTTAATTTTATTATCTAAAGATGAAATTACTATAGCTTCAAAAGAATTATTTGTCATTAATCAAAAGTTACATCTTCTTCTTTTGGTGTAAGATTAAAACTTCTAAAAAACCTATTTAACAAATTCTATTGTTCTTCAAGTTGATAAGTGATTTTAAATTCAAATCTTAATAAAGATATGCTCCAAAGGACTTGATGAAGATTTAAAATATATATTGGTATAAAATGTTCAAGGTTCTTGTAATTTTTTTATATAGTGATTGGACTCGAAGCACTTTCCAAATGTTAACATTATTCTTGAAATGAATCTATAGTTGCAAGAAGTTTTTTTGTTGTAGATCTCATACTTAATTTTGGTTGCTAAATTTTTTTTGAATCAAAAGCTATTAAATGAAGTTTTTCATATACTCCCATTTGTAACAATACTTCATTCAAAATAAAGTCTAATATGTCTATTTCCATAAAATACTATTTTGGAGAATCATTGCAATATAAGATTAGTATAGAAATAAAAATCATCTTTGAAACTTCAAGTAATGCTTTTGTTTCTTTGTTCTACTAAAGTTTGTCTTTATAATTCTAGCATATTATTATAGCTACAACTTAAGAAGAATTCTTGATAAAGATTTAATGACAATTGGTAAATACAAAAAAAATATTGGATATTTTTTGTTATTCTTTAAACCTTCCAATCCATAATAATTTTAATTTTTTTAGGGTGTATTATAAGGCTATCATTTGAAATAAATATATCTTAAGAAATCAACTTGAATTATATAAAATATACACTTTTTCATCATGGTATATAATCCTACATCTCTAAGTTTTTGCAACATACAACAAATATAAAATCTACGCTTTTTTATATTCTTAGAATAAATTAAAATATTATTTAAATAAAAAATGATAAATCATTTAAAATTTTACAAAACCAATATTATTTATAAGATGTTGAAAAATAATTGGTACATTTTTTAGTCTAAAAGGTATGATATTATATTTTTAAAAATTATATTTGATTTAAAACATAGTTTTATATTCATCTCCTTTTATATGTACCAAGTTGTATGTTTTTTGTAGATCTATTTTGATATAGATCTTTATTTTATTCAATTGATCAAGAAATCGTATTATAAAAGGTAAATGATACTTATTCTTAATTTTTATTTTGTTAAGTTCATAATAATTTACATACATTTGTAGTGATTTATTTTATTTTTTTCACAAATGAGATAAAAGCTCCTATTGGAGACTTAAAATGGCATATGAAGTTCTTAGCCAGGTTCATATCAATATATCTCTTAAGTATAATTAACTTTTTTTAGAATAAGATATAAATTAATCCAAATGGCAATTGAGCTCTTTCTTGAAGATCAATTGAACAATTATAGGAACAATGCTCTTGAAGAATATCTACATTTTTTTTTTCAAAAATATCTCAATAATTTTGATATTGGCTTGAAGTGTTGCTTGAAGTCTTTCTACCATCAAAACAACTATGGCATAAATAGAAAAAAAAAAAAAAAAAAAAAAAAAAAACATCTTTTTTTTTGCAGTATAAATAAAAGCTTTTGTATGTAGTTGTATTGAACTTAAGATTTTTTTATTTTAATAACAAAGTTTTGAATTATGATATAAAAATAATAAAAATAAAAATAAATCAAACTTACAAGAAATTGAGTCAATTCAAGAATTATATTTCTCAAGCCACAATAAACCTAAAATAATAGGATTAAAAAAGAATCTAATTATATTAAAAATTGATGAGTTGTTATATTAATTAATTGCTACAATTTCATAGATAATATATTTTGAAGACAATAAACAACCATTCATGACTTCTACATACATGGATTTAATTTTCTTAATTAAAATTATTTGATGTTTTTTTAATAAAATATTTATTTATAAAATATGTTGAAGCTCTTATATCTAACAATGCAAAGACTTTACATTTTTTTGGTACTAAAAAAATATCTATTATAAAGCAAGGTGAAGGATTTGAAGAGTGAATAGGATCTTTGATAGTTGTTGCATAAGATTCCAATTGCATAATTTTTATTGTAAATGGAGAAATTGGTTATTTGATACATTATCTTTTTTGGCAACTATGCTCCTCATTTTGTGATTATATTGCTTTTTTTAACAATGTTGAATAGTGTGCTTAGATTCTCCACAATATAAGCAAAAACCTTCTTAACAATATTAAGTCTTTTATTATTTAAGGAGGTGTTTAAAATATACCATATTAATTTACATATATTTTAGCTTTGATAAATAAGTTTTTGAAAACTTAAGAATTGTCATCATCACTTGACTTATTCTTCTCCAATCAAATCTTTGTTCTTAATATCTTTCAAAAAGTCAATTCTTACATACATGACTTAAGTATTAAATTGTTCTATAAATCCACTCTTTGCATTGTCAATGACAAATCTTTGACATTATCTTTAAGTCTATATTAAAATTGATTAATAAGGGCTTTGTCATTTTAATCCACGTTGCAAGCAAGGTTTTGGAATTTAGCATCATATATAGTGGTTGTATGCTATTCTTGTTGTAAAGATAGGAGTTTTATCTTTGCTATCTATTTTTAAATATATATTTTTTAAATATGGCTATAAATACTTTAAAAAAAATTATACCATAATAGAATTGTGAATCTTTTTTCATCAAAAGTGTAAATCATATATATATATATATATATATATATATATATATATATAAATATGAATGCTTTTATGAATCCAACTTAAATAAAACCATTAGGCTATAGGAAAAGATGTAATTTTAGATAGAACTTGATTTACTATAGAAACTCTCAAAATCTTGATCTTATTCCATCAAACTCTCTAGCATATTGATCCTTCTCTCCTTTGTAGTTGTAATATTAAGACTTTTCAAATCCAATTATAAGATTGATCTATTTGATTCTTACAACTTCACAACTTTTAAGCATATACTATAAATTTCATTGTTGCCTTTTATAATAGGCATATATAAATTACCTTTGTCAATGACATTGGAAATATGTGAGATTTCTATCCTAAGAAAATTAACAAACTCATGAAGTTCTCCAGTAGTTGCAAACCTATTATTATTTTTGATAAATGTAACATCTATGATTTTTCCATTTGTTTCCTCAACACACAACAAAAACACAATAACTAAAATCATAATACAAATACTGCATCAATGATAATAGTAATAAAAAATATTGAAATAAATAGATTGTTTTTTTTAGAATTTTAAATATTTTAAAATTTTAAAATTTTAAATAATATAGTTAATATTATTTAAAAATAATCATCATATAAAAAAATAAATATAATATATAATAATATAAAAAAATAAAAAATAAACAACCTTAGATTCTAAATAATGGTGCTTTTAAAATTTTGTGTGGTAGAGCATTGAACATCTTTAAGATGAAAAAATAAAATAAAAATAAAAATAAAAGTCATATGTCCAATGAATCAACTTTTATTTATCAAATTAGATATCTACTACATCTATATTAAATATTTATGAAAAAAATATCAAATTTGTTGGCATTTCAATTTTAAATTGTTAATAACATCTAGAAGTCTATTGAATGAAATGAATGTTAATCTAAAAACTTAATAAAAAATTGTGTAATTGATTGAAAATTTGCAATAAAAGAATGACATTCAAGGCAATTTAATTGTATACTAACAATGTATTTCTATAACATTCAATGTGTTTCAAACACATCTTTTTTTTTTTTAAACTATGTTATTCAAGTTTTGTATTACTACTTGGAATAAAACCATTGGAACAAAAAATAAAATAAATCACTATGATAGAGCACTTGGAGCAAAATCTACAACACATTTTTCTATCTTAGATGAGAATCAACTTAATTGACTCAAAATATGTGATGACATGCCTTCCCATGCGAAGGCATGTCATATTTAAGTTATCTTCCATCCATTTTGTATTGTGCAATTTTATTCAAGTTTCATCAAAATATATCTTTTATTTTCGGCGATGCCAAAGAGGACTCATCCACAGATGATAACTGCGTGACCAGTTGCTCTCTCCCCCTTCAGGAACCAGCTTTCGCAACTTGGGGGGGCGCTCCACTTCGGGGTGGCGGAGGCTCAAGGACCATGACCCGCGATGAGAAGGCGCGGTGGGAAAACCCGTGACGTCGTCGTCGTCGCTGTCGTCGGCGCCTCGTCCCTGGGTAGCTGCCTTGTGGATTTCTTCGGCCTCGCGGTGTGCGAAACAGCGCCGTGCACACAAAGGTCCAACAGCGGCATTTTGGATGGTGGCATGGTGATGGAAGTTGCAATTGGCTGGGAAGCGGCTGGAAGGAAGGGGAGGGCGAGATGGGAAGGGCGGATGAAGGTGCGGGGATGAAAGTGTGTCCGTCACCACTCCTGACACCATTACGAAGAAGATTAACCACTCTGGCCCCGGATGCAGCAACGGCAGCGTCAAGGAGCAATGCCATTCTCTTCCCGTCGCTTGTCCGTCTGTGCGGTTTCGAAGCTTCACACATTTCTCGGCGCTTGACCACGCCAACTGTATTCCCCTTTCCGCCATGTCCAGCTTCTTCTCGTTCTTCTTCCTCTTCTTCTTCTTCTTGACCGGCCCGCGTATATGAAGGACTGACCGCCACTTCCCGCAGGATTGCCTCCTCCATCTGCAATCGGGGGCGACGCCTGAGAAACAGATAGCGAGCGCGAGAGCGAGGGCGCCACAGATAGCGAGTGTCCACGCGCGCTGTGGATTGGACGAGGGTTCGGCCGCGTCTTCGCTGCGAGGCAGTGATGGCGGAGTGAGAGTGGGAAGGGCAGCAGGAAGGAGAGCTGGGCAGGGTGATGAGGCGCGGGAGGGAGGGGAAACGGAAGGAGATGGTGGTGCGAGGGGTTAGGGTTCGGGAGTTAGGGTTAGGGGTTGACGGGCTGCAGTGCGGGGTCGATGGGATGGAGACGGGGCGGATGAGGGGATGGTGAAGTGGAGAGGGGGTGGTGCAGGAGATGACGACGACGACGACGACGACGACGACAACAGGGTCGAATCCCGTCGGGGACGCCGGAGGGGCATGTGCAGGAGGTGCTCCTGCGGGCTCCGAGGTTGTTGCTTCGTCTGTGTCGACGGGGGCGGGTGTGGCAACGATGACAGCGACGGCGACGGGTGCGTCGGGGAGCGGTGGAGCGATAGAGAGTTCGGTTGTGGCCGTGCGGGGGGAGAAGAACGGAGTGGCGCGGGGTGGGGAGAATGCGGACGAGCCGCGGGAGGGCGGGCAAGAGTCGGTGATTGTAGAGAAGCGCGGGGAGCACGCCGCTGTGTGCAAGTGGACGATTAGTCAGTTCGCGAAGGTGAAGGCGCGGGCGCTGTGGAGCCGGTATTTTGAGGTAGGCGGGTACGACTGCCGGTTGCTGGTTTACCCGCGGGGGGATTCGCAGGCATTGCCTGGGTACTTGAGCATTTATTTGCAGGTTACGGATCCCCGGGGATCATCGTCTTCGAAGTGGGATTGCTTCGCCAGTTACAGGTTGTGCGTAGTGAATCAGAAGGATGAAACGAAATCCATTCAGAGGGACTCGTGGCATCGGTTTTCTGGGAAGAAGAAATCGCACGGTTGGTGCGATTTCACGCCGTCGTCGACGGTGCTGGATGGCAAGGGCGGGTTCGTTGTAAATGAGGCGGTCCTGATAACGGCTGAGATTTTAGTACTGCACGAGTCGGTATCGTTTTCGAGGGAGAATGAGCTACCCGCGACAGGGGGTCCTGCTCCCGAAGTTCTTAGTGGAAAATTCACTTGGAAAGTGCACAATCTGTCGCTGTTCAAGGAGATGATTAAAACGCAGAAAATTATGAGTCCCGTGTTCCCTGCCGGCGATTGTAGCTTGAGATTGAGCGTATACCAGTCGTCGGTTAGCGGTGTAGATTACTTATCCATGTGCCTGGAGAGCAAGGACACTGAGAAATCCAGCGTCCCGGAGCGCAGCTGCTGGTGCCTGTTTCGAATGTCAGTGCTGAACCAGCGGGCTGGAATGAACCACATGCACCGGGACTCGTACGGACGGTTTGCTGCGGACAACAAAAGCGGCGACAACACCAGCCTGGGATGGAACGATTACATGAAGATGGCGGATTTTGTGGCTCCGGAGATGGGGTACCTGGTAGAAGACACCGCCGTGTTCAGTGCTTCATTTCACGTGATCAAGGAGTCTAGCACGTTCTCGAAGAACATAGGGCCACTGAGCGCCAGAGCCAACGCGAAGAAGAGCGATGGGTATCAGGGGAAGTTCATGTGGCGGATTGAGAACTTCACCCGGTTGAAAGACCTTCTGAAGAAGAGGAAAATTACGGGGTTGTGCATCAAAAGTCGGAGATTCCAAGTCGGTAATCGAGATTGTCGGCTCATCGTGTATCCGCGAGGTACGGAGCGCATTCTCTGGTCGCTGTGATTGTGGATCGCCGTCCTTGTGTGCAATGCATGAGCGAATTCGGACGTCTGTGTGCACCTCGAACATGGGGTTATGTTCTGAGTGCATTGCGCAGAAAGTGAAACGTGGTTGTGCGCCGAATGCCGCGACCTGTAGGTCGTGGCGAAATCTGGATTGCGGTCGCAAAATCGGAATTGGGCGTTTGGCTTTCGGGCTGTGCTGCTTGTGGAGATGTTTCCGGTTGCTGTGGCAGCAGCTTGGTTTGGATGTGTGTCGAAAGGCTGTGCTCGTGACCAGTGGTTTCCTTGGTGTTGTGTTTTCAGGACAGTCACAACCTCCGTGCCACCTGTCGATGTTCCTGGAAGTCACAGATCCTCGCAACACTTGCGCTGATTGGAGCTGCTTTGTGAGTCATCGTCTGTCGGTTGTCAACCAACGTACCGACGAAAGATCCGTGACAAAAGAATCCCAGAACCGGTATTCGAAGGCTGCGAAGGATTGGGGGTGGCGGGAGTTCGTGACCCTGACTAGCCTGTTCGATCAAGACTCTGGATTTCTTGTGCAGGACATGGTTGTTTTCTCCGCAGAGGTGTTAATTCTGAAGGAGACTTCTACAATGCAGGAGCTCTCCGAGTACGAGGGTGAGGCAGCAGCTTCAGGAGGAGGTTCCGACACGGGTAGAATCGTGAACCGCGGAACTTTCACGTGGCGCGTGGAGAATTTTCTGGCTTTCAAGGAGATCATGGAAACTCGGAAGATTTTTAGCAAATTCTTTCAGGCAGGGGGGTGCGAGCTACGCATAGGTAAAGCCATGACGGCTGTGAAGCGATCGGTCTGAACCCGCAGCAGTAGACGTGTCTCGTCTCGATTTTAAACTAGGTGTTAGAATGGATAGCGGGGACAGCACAGCGTGGTTTGTTCGCTGCTATTGCACTGCAGAAGGGAGGGTTTGATGGCATGCCCGTGCACGGTTGCGAGAAGGAGTTGAGTCTTGAATTTTGCGACAGGTGCAGAGTTTGGAGGAGAAACAGGGATGAGTTGGCGGCGCAGTCTGCGCCTGGGTTCAGTGTAATCATGGCATTAGCGCATGTCCACGATCCGTCTGTGATTTGTCTGATATAGTCCGTGATGGTGATCGTTTTGCAGGTGTATATGAGTCCTTTGATACTCTGTGTATATACCTGGAGAGTGATCAGTCTATAGGATCAGATCCAGACCGAAATTTTTGGGTGAGATATCGCATGGCGGTGGTGAACGTTAAGCATGGAGATCGCACGGTTTGGAAGGAGTCTTCTATCTGCACCAAGACGTGGAACAATTCGGTTCTGCAGTTCATGAAGGTGTCTGACATGGTGGAAGCGGATGCGGGCTTCTTGGTCCGAGACACGGTCGTGTTTGTGTGCGAGATACTGGACTGCTGCCCGTGGTTTGAGTTTTCTGACCTGGATGTAAGTGGGCCTCATGGGAATTGCTATGTTTTGGATTGACGTTGGCGGTCGTTGTGGGAGAGCGCGTGGCGGGTATGTGGTGGCCGCGCTAGGGGGAGCGTTGAGACGACGGGGTAGATTACGGTTTTGGCATGAATTTGGTGGGTCCGAGCTTGCGCGGTCAGGGTCGCTTTGTGGCGTGATGTCTGATTTTGTGGATTGCAGGTGCTGATATCTGACGACGAACAAGACGCGCTGTCCACTGATCCAGAGGAACTGTTGGACTCGGACGACAGTGAAGGCGTTAGTGGTGACGAAGAGGATATCTTTCGAAGCCTACTAGCACGGGCTGGGTTTCACTTGAGCTATGGGGACAATCCTCCGCTTTTGTTGGATCCATCCCAGCTTCAGATCACACTGCGCGAGAAGTTGCTGATGGATGCGGGAGCTGTGGCAGCGTTTTTAGCAGGTACGGGTAGCGAGAAGACTGAATAGTTTGGTTAAGACGCGAGCTTATTTTGCGGGGATGGCACGCGTCAGTGGTGCGATGAGGCGAGGTTGATTGATGCGAGCTTGGGGATGGTAGTTGAGCAGGCTTAGGTGGGGCGTTAGGACGAGGAAGATCTCTGGTGCTTATGAGGCACACGAGTGTTGTGAAAGGAGTTGGTGTGGAACCTGGGGTGTTGCGTTTGTTGCGCGTTGGCTGAGTACTGGCGCATGTGGGATGCACTTTGTAGGCTTGAGGGTGTACTTGGACGATCCAGCAAAGGTGAAGCGGCTGCTTTTGCCAACCAAGGTTTCGACCACAAGTGCGGGAGGAGGCGGAGGTAAAAACGCAGCAGGGAGAGGGGAGGCGTCTTCTCCCAGTCTGATGAACCTGTTGATGGGAGTTAAAGTGCTGCAACAAGCTATAGTAGATCTGCTGTTGGACATCATGGTTGAGTGCTGTCAACCATCGGAAGTGAAGAAGTGCAACGATGTGCCGGTGGAGAACAAACGAGGTGGATTTTATGAAGGGAACAATGTAAGTGGGGTCTCGCTGGCACATACCGCTTTGGGTGAAAGGGGGGGGGGTCCTGAGTGTGGGCGAGGTCGTTTGTTCATCAGACGATAGGAGCGCAATGCTCCCTATTTGAACCTGTAGGGAGTATTGTAGCAAACGTTTTGGATGGAGGTGGCACCTCGTTGTGAAACGGCAATGCGAGTGAAACAGGAGCCTAGCAAGGTCGTGTGATGGAGTGGTGTTTTTGGCGTGCTTGAATGGGTGGGGTTTGTCGTTGTAGGGGACATCGTTGAAACGCTGTATTGTTCAGAGCATGAGTGGTGGGTGGATGGTCACAATGAACAAGTGATGAACAAGAAATAAGTGGGTGGAGAGCAGTGTGGCAGGCAACGTGATTTGGCAACTTTCCTGGCTTGGAAATTGTTGGTGCAGTAGCTGTGTGTTGTGTGTCCTCGCGCAGCGAGCGGTGTCGTAGGATATGATTGAGATGGAGATGTAGAGTGAATATTTTGGATACTGATTTGCGTGGATGGCCGAAGTGGCAGGCTGCTAAGCCCGCGGCCGCAGGGGGAGTGGACTGGCGGAACGGCGGTTCAGCTGTAGAATCTCGAGATAGTGGATTAAGCTCAATTGATCAGCGACTAGAAGTAGGAGGAGATGGATCTTCAGGAGCACAGGCTGTGCAAAGCAGTGACTCGTTGGCTGTAGATATGCCAGTGGGAAGGGCTGCTGCTCTATCTGTGTCGTCCGTGCAGTCTGAGCCGGCAGCGAGCCAAGAGTCATGTGTTCCAGATACTATGAATAATACTTTCTCAAACCATGCTCAGAAGGTACCGTGGACGGGGACACTTGCTGTGTTGCGTGTCATTGATTGTGAGAACAAGGCTGTGTTTGTGCAGTCAGTCAGGTTTGCAGCTATGAATGATGTGGTTTAATGTTTTGTACGGTTTTTCACAGTTTGCATGGGTGAGGAACGGTGGTTACGTAATTATTTTGAGCATGGTCGGGCGGAATCGGAAGGCGATATGGAGGGTGATGTCTGACCGTCGGATTTGGGGTGTGATGGGTGGCGTGTGCAGCCGAAGTGGCCTGAGCAATCCGACGAGCTTTTGGGATTGATAGTGAATTCTTTAAGAGCCCTGGAAGGAGCTGTACCTCAGGGTGTTCCGGAGCCGCGGCGAAGGCCACAATCAGCGCAAAAGATTGCACTGGTGTTGGAGAAGGCTCCCAAGCATTTACAGCCGGACTTAATAGCTCTGGTGCCAAAGCTGGTAGACTTGTCGGAGCATTCGTTGGTTGCATATTCTTTGCTGGAACGGCTTCAGAGACCGGACGCGGAACCTGCGTTGCGATTACCGGTTGGTGGTCTCGGCTGATATTCTTTGTAGCTTGTGGCGTCGTTGTTTCCGGTCATTGTTTGAGGTTCGATGCGGGCGTTAGCGTCCGCAAGTCGGGTGGATGCGTAGAATGTGAGGGATTGCGGAATGTAGCACGTCCACAATTGAGTCGCACGTTTACCAAGAAGGGAACTTGGTATGGCGTCGGGTTTCGTGCATGGTGATTCTTGTGGAGTGCATCGTGGTCTGCCAGCTAGCCAATAAGTACCGGTTCGTTTATGTGTGGGATGGGCGGAGAGCTTGTTGGATGGGTGGTGAGTATCTGCGACGGAGAGGTGCAAGGTGAGGGTTACGTGTGGTGGAGTGTGAAGTAAGGTGTTTTGGGTGGGTGCTGTGGCAGATGCTGGGAGCATTGAGTCAATTAGAAGTGAGCAGCGACATCTGGGAGCAGGTGCTGCAGCAGGCTTTAGATATTCTGCCGGAGTTAGTGGACGAACCACTGGCGGCAGTGATGAGCTTCGTGTTCAAGGCTGCTACCGAGAGCCAACAGTTGCTGCGAGCGGTGAGTGGCCTGGGCATGCACATCAGCATGTGGTGTGGCGTCCTGCAGTGTTTTGTTGTTGCTGTTGTTGCGGGCGTGGAGAAGTCGTAGCAGGTGTCGTTTTCGGTGATTTGATGTTTGGAACGTGAGCGTGATCAGGTTGCGGCAGTGCGGAGAAGGTTCAAAAAGCTGGGCCCGGCTGTCTCTCCTCGGGTGCTGGATGTGGTGCGGAGCACTGTGAGCAGCAATGCAGACGTGGCGGAAGCACTACTGCGGGACATCGATAACGATTCCGATCGCAGCGAGACTGATATTACAACGGCAGGAATAAACATAGTGTTTGGAGACAACCGGGATGGCGATGGAGCCGCTCAATTGCAGGTTTTCTGCTGCACTTGTTGACGTTGGGGATGGAGGGTCACCCCTCTTTCCGCCCGTGTTGTATGTTCGCGTTTTGTTTTGTTTTTGTTTATGTTGTTTAACTTGTCGTGACAGGTTGTGTCGCATTCGTGGAGGAGGTGGGTTTTGTCGCGGGGGACTCCCACACATGTGGTTCAGGTTCTTGGTCGTGGGAGTTTGCTGAAATGTTTGTGGCGGACCAACCTGTATTTGCAGGCAGCAGCTGAGAAGGTGGCAGCGTCTTGTTGGAGGGTTGCCGATGTGGACTTTCTGGTTGAAATGTTGACGATGCCGACGTTGAGAATAGAGGCCCAACGTGTGTTCGAGCGAGCGATTGCGCGGGGGGCTTTCGGGGAGCAATCAGTAGTCATGGTGCTGGAAAGACGACGATCTCAGCGGCTCATTCTCGGCACTCGAATGGGTGCTAGTGCTGGGAATGCAGCGGCATCCCATGTTCAGGATCCATTGATGCCTGGGACTCCAGGCGGAGGAATTGACTACTTACATCCTGTGGAAGAGGATGTGGACTTCCCCGCAGTTCTTCAGCTCGCGGAAGCTCTGGCCCTGTCTCGCGATCTAAGAGTTCGCGAGTTCGTGTCGACGATGTACGCGGTTATGTTCAAAGTGTACGGCGACGAGGGTTATCATGAGCGTATGCTGAGGGGTCTTGTAGAGCGAGCAACCAGTAGCACTAGCGGCCCACACGAGGTAGAGTTAGGAATGGCTATACTGACGTTCTTGGTGCGGGAGGAGGAAGGGACGGCGCGTCCTGTGTTGAGCATGATGTGTAAGGTGGCCGAAGCGGCGAACGGGGAGCGGAACGTTTTGTGGCAGCAGCTACGAGCTCGGGAAGATGACATCGTACGATTGAGGAACGAGCGCCAAGCAGAGTTGGCTCGAGTATCTCGAGAGAAGGCCGTGTTGTCTCAAAGACTTGTGGACGCCGACATAGCGCAAGGTCGATTAAAGGTAGTCCTCAGCTTAAAGCCAGTTGTTGCGAATGCGTAGATGTAGGATGAACACGCTGGGCTACCAAGCGTCGCTCAAAGCGGTTGTTGGCGTGGCACTCCAGGAGTGGGTTTGTAGTTCTTGGTGGCGACAATGACGAGCATTGTCGATTTAGCGTCCTTGTGCGCTTCCATTCTGGTCATGGAATGGGATTGGCAGTTCAGAGTACATCGTGTGTGGTTGAAGAGCGGATGTTGTGACAGTGGAAGTAGAGGTGGGCTTGGGTTCCGCTGGGCGTGATACAGTTGTGGATGTGAGGTAGAAGTGTTTTCGTGAGAGTTAATGGTGGTGTGGCCGGCATTGGGATGGCTTTGTCTTGACGAGGTTGTTTACCTGGTGACAGGCGGAAATGAGAGCAGAGATCGACAGAGTGGGTCGTGAAAAGAAAGACATGGCCGAGCGGATTCGGGAAGTTGAGAATCAGCTGGAATGGGTGCGCTCCGAGCGAGAGGAGGAGATCGGGAAGCTCCTGAACGAGAAGAAGGGGCTACAGGACCGGCTGAGGGACACCGAGGCCCAACTTGCGCAGCTCAAATCGCGTAAACGAGATGAGCTGAAGGTAGTCATCGAAGCCCCGCGGAGATGAAGAAATAATGAGTGTCCGTTGGGCGTGCGGTGTGATTGGCAGTTTGTTTGTTTTCGTTTTCGTTTTCGTTTTTGTTTTTCTGTTGCGGGTGGATGCGGAGTGCGTTGCGTGTTTTTATGTACGCGAAGCTGATGTGATACGTGCAGAGGGTTATGAAAGAGAAGAATGCGTTGGCTGAGAGATTAAAGACCGCGGAATCCGCGCGGAAGCGATTCGATGAAGACATCAAGCGATATGCGACGGAGTCGGTAACCCGAGAAGAGATTCGGCAGTCCCTCGAAGACGAGGTCCGCCGGCTGACTCAAACAGTAGGCCAGACGGAGGGAGGGCTCAGGGAGAAGGAGGAGCAGGTGATGCGGTGCGAAGCGTACATCGACGGAATGGAGTCGAAGCTGCATGCTTGTCAGGTACGTGAAGTTGTGTGGTGCGTGGTGTGATGCGGGTCAGTGATAAGTCGCAGCGCAAGAGGCTACGGAGGTCCCGTACGTGGACTTCGAGTGGTTTGATTTGTGGGGGTGGTTGAAGTGACGAAATGGTTTGGTTGAGTTGGAACTGAGTTGTGGGAATGCGTGATTGCATGTGCAGAATTACATCCAAACGCTGGAGGCGTCTTTGCAGGAAGAGATGTCTAGACACGCGCCGCTGTACGGGGCCGGTCTTGAAGCACTGTCGCTGAGCGAGCTAGAGACGCTAGCGCGCATCCATGACGAAGGGCTGCGGGCGGTCCGGTTACTGCAGCAGCAGAGAGGGGCGGGGGGTGCGGAGCACATGGCGAACATGGAGTCCATGGCAAACCACTCCCCACTCCCTCCGCCTTTGGGCATGTATGCAACTCCACCACCGATCGCCGTGGGGATGCCCTCCATCATGGCGAACGGGATGAGCGTGCACGGTAACGGGCACATCAACGGCACCGTGGGGCCGTGGTACCCTCCAACTTAAGCTTATGAAAATTGCCGGGTTGTATTCCCGGGGGGGAGGGGGGTGGCGGGGGGAGGTGGGCATGCGCACCTCATGTTACTTCAGCGAACGAATGTTTTAGAGTAAAATTATTTCTTTTATTCCGCCTTGGACATGCGGTATCACTTGGCTACTACTTGTCTCGGTGTGTCGGTGCAACTGTGATGTGTGTATCATTGGAGTTCAGCCCAGAGCTGAAAGCGGGTCCGGGGTGGTGTGAGGAACGGACCAACCGGTGGAGGGTTTGGATAGTCGTCAGAACAGGGCTTGCGTTGAATGTGTGGATGTGCGGGTTGGGAAAGGTGTTCAAACTGGTGACAAACTGATTCAGGTGATGTGGGTTTAGTATAAGTTCATCCAGAAGGACTTTAAGGGTGGCTACCACAATAATTATGCGGATAACATGGTGTGTGAATATGATGAACTGTCTGTGCCGGCACGAAAGCCTACAAATGCACCGACAAAGCGTTGAGGATTTCATGCGTCTTACCCGTTGTTTGGTTGTATGATGGGATTTGTGTTGGTAACGTGTTAATTTTTGGCCGTAGCGCGCTGGCAGCGTTCTGCAACTTGTTTATGGAAAGATATGGTTGAAGTGTAGGTGTATCTCGAATAAATCCTGGACATGCTGATTGTTGCAAGTGAGCCCGAATCTTCTGGTTAGTCGTGGTGGTATGGTCTTGAAGTGGTAAGATTTAGTTATGAATGCTATTTTGATTAATCGATAGTTTTCTAGGAGATAGGGTTGCGCTACTCAAAGAATATATTGATGGAAACTTGGCGAAGAACTTTATACTTTATTCCTAATCCTCTAAATGAGCATTTATTTTGTTAATAAAAGAAAAAAATAAATCATTGCAAATTTGTATGGATTATTGACAAAGTTCAATTACCACGGATAATTGGTACCCTCTTGTTGTGATATCTTACATTTGCAGTAATTATTTTACTTAATTTTGTTAAATCCAAGAGATATCCAAGAGATTTAGTAGTGGCAGACCTTGCAAAAGCTTTAGGAATCACATCCCAAATGGATTTAACCCTTTATTTCCAATTTTCACCTTATTCATTTGCTACATGTCTAGGATGATCTTTAAAGTTTCAAATTTGTTTGTTGTTATGAATCAAATTTTAGGTCGAGGGTTTAAGCTTTAGAATTTTGGGTAAAGATTTGTTTCTTGGTCATTGTGGTCATTGTCAATGTGGGGATATTTTGTATGTCATATGATAGTTTAGATTTAAGGTTGAAAGAATTTTTGTAGAATATGTTTTCAAATGTTTAAAATTTAAGATGTAAATTAATATTTCAAATTTTAAACATCTCTTAAATTAATTGAAGTTAAAATTGGAAAGAATAATTCAGGCCAAAATACTTATACATTACAGAATTCTTGAAAAAACATAATAGTTTTATACATTTAACGCGTCAAAGTCGAAGTTTCTGAATAGTTGTGCCAAGCAATGATATGATACATTAAAACAAAATCTAGATAATATCACTTGGATTTAACAAATTTAAGTAAAATAATTACTGCAAATGTAAGATATCACAACAAGAGGGTACCAATTATCCGTGGTAATTGAACTTTGTCAATAATCCATACAAATTTGCAATGATTTATTTTTTTCTTTTATTAACAAAATAAATGCTCATTTAGAGGATTAGGAATAAAGTATAAAGTTCTTCGCCAAGTTTCCATCAATATATTCTTTGAGTAGCGCAACCCTATCTCCTAGAAAACTATCGATTAATCAAAATAGCATTCATAACTAAATCTTACCACTTCAAGACCATACCACCACGACTAACCAGAAGATTCGGGCTCACTTGCAACAATCAGCATGTCCAGGATTTATTCGAGATACACCTACACTTCAACCATATCTTTCCATAAACAAGTTGCAGAACGCTGCCAGCGCGCTACGGCCAAAAATTAACACGTTACCAACACAAATCCCATCATACAACCAAACAACGGGTAAGACGCATGAAATCCTCAACGCTTTGTCGGTGCATTTGTAGGCTTTCGTGCCGGCACAGACAGTTCATCATATTCACACACCATGTTATCCGCATAATTATTGTGGTAGCCACCCTTAAAGTCCTTCTGGATGAACTTATACTAAACCCACATCACCTGAATCAGTTTGTCACCAGTTTGAACACCTTTCCCAACCCGCACATCCACACATTCAACGCAAGCCCTGTTCTGACGACTATCCAAACCCTCCACCGGTTGGTCCGTTCCTCACACCACCCCGGACCCGCTTTCAGCTCTGGGCTGAACTCCAATGATACACACATCACAGTTGCACCGACACACCGAGACAAGTAGTAGCCAAGTGATACCGCATGTCCAAGGCGGAATAAAAGAAATAATTTTACTCTAAAACATTCGTTCGCTGAAGTAACATGAGGTGCGCATGCCCACCTCCCCCCGCCACCCCCCTCCCCCCCGGGAATACAACCCGGCAATTTTCATAAGCTTAAGTTGGAGGGTACCACGGCCCCACGGTGCCGTTGATGTGCCCGTTACCGTGCACGCTCATCCCGTTCGCCATGATGGAGGGCATCCCCACGGCGATCGGTGGTGGAGTTGCATACATGCCCAAAGGCGGAGGGAGTGGGGAGTGGTTTGCCATGGACTCCATGTTCGCCATGTGCTCCGCACCCCCCGCCCCTCTCTGCTGCTGCAGTAACCGGACCGCCCGCAGCCCTTCGTCATGGATGCGCGCTAGCGTCTCTAGCTCGCTCAGCGACAGTGCTTCAAGACCGGCCCCGTACAGCGGCGCGTGTCTAGACATCTCTTCCTGCAAAGACGCCTCCAGCGTTTGGATGTAATTCTGCACATGCAATCACGCATTCCCACAACTCAGTTCCAACTCAACCAAACCATTTCGTCACTTCAACCACCCCCACAAATCAAACCACTCGAAGTCCACGTACGGGACCTCCGTAGCCTCTTGCGCTGCGACTTATCACTGACCCGCATCACACCACGCACCACACAACTTCACGTACCTGACAAGCATGCAGCTTCGACTCCATTCCGTCGATGTACGCTTCGCACCGCATCACCTGCTCCTCCTTCTCCCTGAGCCCTCCCTCCGTCTGGCCTACTGTTTGAGTCAGCCGGCGGACCTCGTCTTCGAGGGACTGCCGAATCTCTTCTCGGGTTACCGACTCCGTCGCATATCGCTTGATGTCTTCATCGAATCGCTTCCGCGCGGATTCCGCGGTCTTTAATCTCTCAGCCAACGCATTCTTCTCTTTCATAACCCTCTGCACGTATCACATCAGCTTCGCGTACATAAAAACACGCAACGCACTCCGCATCCACCCGCAACAGAAAAACAAAAACGAAAACGAAAACGAAAACAAACAAACTGCCAATCACACCGCACGCCCAACGGACACTCATTATTTCTTCATCTCCGCGGGGCTTCGATGACTACCTTCAGCTCATCTCGTTTACGCGATTTGAGCTGCGCAAGTTGGGCCTCGGTGTCCCTCAGCCGGTCCTGTAGCCCCTTCTTCTCGTTCAGGAGCTTCCCGATCTCCTCCTCTCGCTCGGAGCGCACCCATTCCAGCTGATTCTCAACTTCCCGAATCCGCTCGGCCATGTCTTTCTTTTCACGACCCACTCTGTCGATCTCTGCTCTCATTTCCGCCTGTCACCAGGTAAACAACCTCGTCAAGACAAAGCCATCCCAATGCCGGCCACACCACCATTAACTCTCACGAAAACACTTCTACCTCACATCCACAACTGTATCACGCCCAGCGGAACCCAAGCCCACCTCTACTTCCACTGTCACAACATCCGCTCTTCAACCACACACGATGTACTCTGAACTGCCAATCCCATTCCATGACCAGAATGGAAGCGCACAAGGACGCTAAATCGACAATGCTCGTCATTGTCGCCACCAAGAACTACAAACCCACTCCTGGAGTGCCACGCCAACAACCGCTTTGAGCGACGCTTGGTAGCCCAGCGTGTTCATCCTACATCTACGCATTCGCAACAACTGGCTTTAAGCTGAGGACTACCTTTAATCGACCTTGCGCTATGTCGGCGTCCACAAGTCTTTGAGACAACACGGCCTTCTCTCGAGATACTCGAGCCAACTCTGCTTGGCGCTCGTTCCTCAATCGTACGATGTCATCTTCCCGAGCTCGTAGCTGCTGCCACAAAACGTTCCGCTCCCCGTTCGCCGCTTCGGCCACCTTACACATCATGCTCAACACAGGACGCGCCGTCCCTTCCTCCTCCCGCACCAAGAACGTCAGTATAGCCATTCCTAACTCTACCTCGTGTGGGCCGCTAGTGCTACTGGTTGCTCGCTCTACAAGACCCCTCAGCATACGCTCATGATAACCCTCGTCGCCGTACACTTTGAACATAACCGCGTACATCGTCGACACGAACTCGCGAACTCTTAGATCGCGAGACAGGGCCAGAGCTTCCGCGAGCTGAAGAACTGCGGGGAAGTCCACATCCTCTTCCACAGGATGTAAGTAGTCAATTCCTCCGCCTGGAGTCCCAGGCATCAATGGATCCTGAACATGGGATGCCGCTGCATTCCCAGCACTAGCACCCATTCGAGTGCCGAGAATGAGCCGCTGAGATCGTCGTCTTTCCAGCACCATGACTACTGATTGCTCCCCGAAAGCCCCCCGCGCAATCGCTCGCTCGAACACACGTTGGGCCTCTATTCTCAACGTCGGCATCGTCAACATTTCAACCAGAAAGTCCACATCGGCAACCCTCCAACAAGACGCTGCCACCTTCTCAGCTGCTGCCTGCAAATACAGGTTGGTCCGCCACAAACATTTCAGCAAACTCCCACGACCAAGAACCTGAACCACATGTGTGGGAGTCCCCCGCGACAAAACCCACCTCCTCCACGAATGCGACACAACCTGTCACGACAAGTTAAACAACATAAACAAAAACAAAACAAAACGCGAACATACAACACGGGCGGAAAGAGGGGTGACCCTCCATCCCCAACGTCAACAAGTGCAGCAGAAAACCTGCAATTGAGCGGCTCCATCGCCATCCCGGTTGTCTCCAAACACTATGTTTATTCCTGCCGTTGTAATATCAGTCTCGCTGCGATCGGAATCGTTATCGATGTCCCGCAGTAGTGCTTCCGCCACGTCTGCATTGCTGCTCACAGTGCTCCGCACCACATCCAGCACCCGAGGAGAGACAGCCGGGCCCAGCTTTTTGAACCTTCTCCGCACTGCCGCAACCTGATCACGCTCACGTTCCAAACATCAAATCACCGAAAACGACACCTGCTACGACTTCTCCACGCCCGCAACAACAGCAACAACAAAACACTGCAGGACGCCACACCACATGCTGATGTGCATGCCCAGGCCACTCACCGCTCGCAGCAACTGTTGGCTCTCGGTAGCAGCCTTGAACACGAAGCTCATCACTGCCGCCAGTGGTTCGTCCACTAACTCCGGCAGAATATCTAAAGCCTGCTGCAGCACCTGCTCCCAGATGTCGCTGCTCACTTCTAATTGACTCAATGCTCCCAGCATCTGCCACAGCACCCACCCAAAACACCTTACTTCACACTCCACCACACGTAACCCTCACCTTGCACCTCTCCGTCGCAGATACTCACCACCCATCCAACAAGCTCTCCGCCCATCCCACACATAAACGAACCGGTACTTATTGGCTAGCTGGCAGACCACGATGCACTCCACAAGAATCACCATGCACGAAACCCGACGCCAT